TAGCATCATTGAAGCAATGAGCATGAAACTGAGCAAACTCAGGGAGGCAGTGAAGGACAGGAAGGCCTGGCGCAATATGGTTCATGGGGTCACGAAGAGTCGGACACGACTTAACGACTAAACAACAATTGTATGTAGACGTAGTTGTTGACTGGGCTGGTTTTATGACATACTGTACCAGTGATTCTTGAACTGCATGGGATTCTGGTCAGTTTCTGAGCATAATTCTGAGAACTCATCATGATAATTCTTATCCAAGATTTTTCTTCAAGGTTTCCTACTGTCTAAAATGCATCTTAAATAGAATACTTTTCAGAAATTATACCTTGGCTATAGAGTTCAGTTCCTTTCTGATGCCTTTGTGGATATTGGTGAAAATGTCAACTCAGCTCAGTTTATTATTTAAGATATATTTATACCGCTTCACATAAGCTGCATCTTAATGTGGTGTATAATGAAATGATTAAAGCATTAAAATGGAAATAAAACAATGTAAACGTATATTCATTAAAAAGGTGGAGGGGTTGGCAGAAAATGGAACAAAACAAAGTGATTCATCCATAATATACAGAGAGAGCCCGGATGAATAGATAGATCTTCAACAAGAGCTTAAAGATGTAACAATAGGCCTGTTACAGATTTCTGGAGATGGGAAAGAGTATTCAAAATGTATAGTTTACTATGTGGCGAATACCCTAAACTGAGTGTTTATATTTCCTTAGGGAATTGTACCACTTCTATGGATACTAAATTGCAAGATATTCATTTGGCTGTCTTTCATTTCACAGTTTATAGGTTTTATAAAAGTTGATTTAAAAATGTTAATTTTGTTAGGTAATGGAGCTACCATTTCTACCATCCGTTCCTCATGTCTGGTGGGATGTGCAATTACACAAGATCATTCTGACTCTCTTGTTCAAGCAGCTGCTATTTCCTGTCTCCAGCAACTTCACATGTTTGCGCCACGACATGTTAACCTTTCCAGTCTTGTTCCCAGTCTTTGTGTAAGTATATACTGTCCCTCCTTTTTATATCCCAAAATAAATTATGTCCCACAATGCTGATAATGACACCAGCATTGTCAGTTTGCTGTTTGTCCAAAGCATGCAGAAAAAAATGTACTTTCTATCTTTGTAGTAAAATATCTGTGCTGTATGCAGATCTTTCTGATGATTTGTAAGTTTTTCATTGCATTAGAAAAAGTCTGAGGTTGGCATTTAGACTTTGCAGATTCTTAAAAGGCTTATGCAGTATAGATACCTCTGAAGGAAGTTGAAACACAGTGTTGTATACTTCTGCACCTTTCATGAAACTAATTCTATTGTTACTCCTTGCTGAAATGGCAAAACCACAAAGATTTTCAGTATAATTTTTAGTAAATTAGATACTGTTCGAAAAAAAGAGTTCCTTGCAGAATAATTAAACACTCTTCATACTGTTTCCTTCTATGAAGAAAGATCAGGAGTTTGCTATGTTATATAAAAGTGGAACACTTAAATGTATTTTGCTGGATTACATAATAAAATCTGTAGGCAGCAAGCAGCTGATTGCCATTAATCTGTAGATGCCACAAACATTCTGAAGTGACCAAGCCCTTTGGGCTTCTTCTTGATGATTGTAGGTTCACCTATGCAGCTCCCACCTGCTTCTACGTAGGGCAGCAGTAGCATGTCTGAGGCAGCTTGCTCAAAGAGAAGCAGCAGAAGTATGTGAATATGCCATGAGCTTAGCAAAAAATACTGGAGAGAAAGAAAGTAATGGTACAAGTAAGTATCAGACCAAACCATGCAACTTCTTAAACATATTTCCTGTTTTGGCTTTTCAACTATGTTTTCCTCTCCCCCTCTTCTGTCAATAATATGAAAATTCTCTCCTTTTACATGTTGATAGATTGTCAATAGTTTTCACTTGACTGGCTGAGGCAAGGCATTTGCTGAGCCTAGGCCTGCAGAGGCGAATGGCACGTTTAATCCTCTGCATTTTCAATTAGCCTTTTTTGTGTAACAGAGAAGGGTGTCTTCTTAAGATCTGGAAAGGTGAATCCAAACATCCTATTAATTCAGTCTGACTGTGCAAATCTAGAAGAAATCTTGCTGTAGTTTATCAGATTTTTGTTCACGTTGAAAGTTTATGGCATTGTAACAATTATTCTCATTTTTTTTAGTGGATTGTAGTCATTGTTTTGAGTATTGTGATTATATGTGTAGTTAAATAATTCACTAGAAAAATCTCAGATGCTGTACTACCTAATATGTTTTGCAGATATTAATCCTTTTGCTCTAGGACTTGGCTCACGAAGAGATAGTCATGGCAGACATCAAGGTATTAATATAACAGAGACGGGACTTGAAGGAGTTCTTTTTGGAATGTTAGATCGTGAGACTGATCGGAAGTTGTGTTCTGATATTCATGATACCTTGGGCCATATGCTTTCATCACTGGCAGTGGAGAAGCTCTCTCACTGGCTAATGCTATGCAAGGATGTCCTCGCAGCATCCAGTGGTAAGTATCTGAGAATGACTCAATAAATGAGTGAAGAAAATATTATTTGTTGTCTCCTCTTTCTATAGAGGTTCTTCATTTGAAAGAACTTTTCAATTTGCAATCTGATGTCCCTTTAGCAAAACCTTTTTATAAATTATTAAAAGGTTATCTATGATAAACCAAAATCTTTTTATTTATTTATTTGAATTTATTAGCCATCCAACTCCAAAGGGGAGCTAATAAATTCTTCTTCCTGTTTGCCTCAGACAACATATGAAAGCAATGAAAAAGCTTTGAATGGTTCTTGTGCTTTAGCTAAACCTTAAAAAAAGTCATTGTTTAGCTGTGTAATGGGACTTAATAAATACCTGCATAAATGTGGCTTTTTAAAGAATTTTTAAAATTAATAGTTTAAATGAGATGCAGGAGAAGATGAGTATTTGTAGAGCTGACATTCTAAAAGTTCTGTGATTCTTATGTTTTGTGCTATAACTGTCTAAATATTTGCATCAATATTATTTGGAAATTTATATGTAAAATTAGATGCTAAGCAAGTTAGCTGAATAAATAATTCATAATTTTTCCTGACTTTTAAAGGTAAATATATGAAATTTATTTAAATGCTGATTGTGTTTTCCACAAATAGTAACTGACATACAGTCAGGTCCAGAAATATTGGGACATCGACACAATTCTAACATCTTTGGC